CAGCCTCTGGTGGGTTCTAAGGTTGTGCGTTTTTTTTTGTTTTTTTTTTTTTTCTTTTCTTTTTCTTTGACATCTTTTCACAGCGCAAAAGTCCCTCGACATTGTGTCCGCATTTCAGAGTTATGGCGAGTTTCTTTCAGGTCGCATCTCGGAAGAAGAGCGTAAGGACATTGTTCGCCATGCTTGTCCCGGTGCTGGAGCCTGCGGCGGCATGTATACCGCAAACTCCATGGCTAGCGCCATTGAAGCTATGGGTCTTACGCTGCCTTATTCATCGTCGACTCCTGCCGAAGATCCACTGAAAATTGAAGAGTGTTTGAAAGCTGGAGAAGCAATCGAAAAGCTTCTCATTGATGACATAAAGCCCAGCGACATTATTACTAAAAAGAGTTTGGAAAACGCTATTGTTTTGACAATGGCCCTTGGTGGTTTGTGAATTTTTTTTTTCTTTTCATTTTAGTTAATTGTCGTCGCGCCTTCACAAGGTTCCACAAACGTCGTGCTGCATTTGCTGGCGATTTCTCGTACTATGGGTATTGACTTAACGATAGATGACTTTCAGGTTATCAGTGACAAAATCCCGTTCATTGCCGACTTGAAACCAAGGTATAAATATGCGACTTTGTGCCAGAAATACTCTCTTTCCTGATTTATTCTTTTTGATCAGTGGAAAGTTTGTTATGGAGGACATCCACCTGATTGGAGGCACTCCCGCCGTGCTTAAGTACCTTTTGGCTGAAAATCTGATTCATGGGGACATTATCACTGTCACTGGAAAGACTCTCGCAGAGAACATTGCTTCGTTGCCTGGTCTAACGCCTGGACAAAAAGTCATTCACCCTTTGTCTGACCCGATCAAACCGTCTGGACACATCCAGATCCTGCGAGGACAAGTTGCACCGGAGGGCTCTGTGGCAAAAATTACCGGAAAGGAGGGCCTTACGTTCTCGGGTCCCGCAAAAGTATTTGATTGTGAAGAAGACATGTTGGCAGCTGTTGAGTCCAAAAAGATTGGGAAAGGCGACGTGGTAGTGATTCGGTACGAGGGTCCGAAAGGTGGGCCTGGTATGCCTGAAATGTTAACTCCGACTTCTGTCATTATGGGTGCTGGTTTGGGCGACTCTGTTGCACTGCTGACGGATGGGCGATTTTCGGGCGGTTCACACGTAGGATCCCCCTCCTCATTTCACCTTTTTTTTTGGACTTAAACACTACCGTTGTGCAGGGGTTTATCATTGGGCACATTTCCCCCGAGGCTCAGGAAGGTGGTCCAATAGCGCTTCTTAGAGATGGGGACATTATCTCGATTGACGCCACGAAGCGCGTGATTGACACAAATGTCAGTGATGCCGAGTTTGTGGAACGCAAAAAGTCGTGGGTGGCCCCGCCGTTGAAGGCAACCAAAGGAACGTTAGCCAAGTTCATCAAGAACGTGAGCAGCGCCTCGCTCGGATGCACAACGGATATTTGAAGGATAACCCTGTTCCGTTATTTGTGGTGCGTGGTTTGTGTTGTGGGACGGTTTTGTTTGGGTTCTGGTGAGACACCTCTGTTGAGTCTAAAATTGAGGATGCGTTTTTTTCATGTCAAAATTTTCGCGCAACATAGTTGCGAATGTCTGCTTTTTTTTCCCGGACATATTATTCCTTCAAAACAAAATCAAACCGCGACTGACGTGTTTATCCCAAATTCCGAAGCAGAAATTTTCGCAATTTATGGAATAAACGCACTCGCCAGTCTTGTTGGCTACCTCTTCCTTGGGAAGCCAAATCTGGAACTAAATATACCGGGAAAGGCATCACACTGGTGGCAAAATATAACTTGGTCTATACAGTTGGATGTCCATAGTGATTGCTTGAGGTAAATTCAATGTTGCAAATCTCACAAATCTATGGATCTCTCCTTATGTTTTTTGTGGTTCCATCACATAATCGCCGTTCCTTTAACTTCAACACTGTCTCACAGCACATAATGTGTAATCAGGGAGGACTGGGTTTTTCTGTGAATCTTTAGTTTTTGGAAGTCCTCGGCATGTACGGTTGGCCGGCAAGCGTGTTTGGATCCGTGTGCCGGGCACCCAATTGTAAATTTTTTTTCTGCTATGAACAAAGGCCTATGGTTTTTCTTTGGATTGCGTCGATCCAGGGAAACTCCACGGGCCGACTTTCATCAAAATCATCAAAACTCCAGTTGCGTACACGCAAATTTCTGCAAGTACCCACGCCAGGTGGTAACCAATCCACGAACACGGAGAAAGTTTCATGTCCAGCAGAAAAATAATTATTGCAGAAATAACGGCCGTCACTGCAGTAAAAGAAAATAAGCTGGATATAAGTCCATATTTTGCGATGATCTGGAGTTTTGGATCGAGGTCTTCCAAGTTTTGACCAAGGCGTCGTGTGTACTGATAAAAGGTGAGCGCAAAGAACATGTCGAAGAGGGCGATCGGCGAGTCCCCGATTGCAATCAAGAGAAGAGAAATGAGCCGCCTGGTCTCTGAACCCACTGTGCTTGGAATGGCGACTTGGGCCGCCGGCAGTATAAAGCAGAAAGGTAGAAAGTTTACAACGTGGCGAAGAATTTGATGCACCTTTGCTGAGGTTGGCCGCAAAATAGGCTCTGTCCGTTTCCAGCTGAACCAGACCTAAATAGGATTTTTAATCAATAAACTGCGCGGAGCTGAGAAATAAAAATCTTTCATAAATTAAAGGATGCTCACGTAACAAACTTCCGCCGGAGCAAGGAATAGCCATACGACTCCTGATATCCACTCTGGTTCCTCGTTAAAATAGTTGAAAATCGAAAGAGAAGTGTAGTGAACGGCTCCGAACGTCCAAGCACAAATTAAAAGCGCGTTTGTTGGAACCAACACATTAGCCAGCTGTGCGGGCTTGCCTTTTCTTCGAAGATCAAAAACCACAGCCAAATACCACAAATAGGGCAAAACGATTGCGTTTGTTGATGCAAGAATGGCCGGAATCACCCAGGTGGATGTCCAAACCGCTTGCTTGAACTCGACAGAACAATTCATTGTTGTAAAAATTAAATACTGATCTACACCACTGAAATGGAACGGAACAAAGCACGGCTCTCGATGACTTAATCGGAAATTAAAAGGTGGGATCTATAGAAGGAGTGCACAGTCATTTTCCAAAGCAAACGATACAATTAGCTCACCGTTCAGTGAAGTATGTTGTACCCTACAAGTTCGAAAAAAAATGCATTGGAAAATCGAAATTCATTGGATATATTGCTGATGGTCATATCAGAACTCGATCCCGACCCGTACTTTTGATTGGATTCTATTAGCATTCATTTTTACGCAAGTCAACCATGGCAATGCGGTCAGCGCGTGTTCCGGTATGCTGTCGGGTTTCGGAGCTCCCAATGAAAAACAAATTGAAAAACAAGTGCTTATTTCTCAGAAAAAATAAATTTGAGTGATGTCTGAACTGAGTCCAGACACCCTCAATCCTATGAACACGAAGGTACTAAGTATTTTACAGCCCCAAATTGAGTTGTGGCCTTGTAGCGAAGTAGTCAACGCGTTGCCCTCCGAAGGCAGAGATCGAGGGTTCAAATCCCTCCAAGGTCGGATATAGTTGGGAATTTTTATATTTTGGCACCATTGGGCACAATTTTTCGAACAAATAGTGTGAATGGAGATGCTTCTGGAGCTACAGTGTTCATCGACAAGCCGTGGCTTGCAAGATTGGCGATGGAGGTGGGCAAGGTGTTGGTTGACTTGGTGACTCGGAACAAGGAGACCTTCATGATCAACAGGATCACCCCAATGGCGTACATGGCGCAATCGGTAAGAATCCATGCAATGTGATAAGTTATCCAGGAACATCCAGTCAGCGTTGGATCCAGAAGGAACGAGACGACGGCAATGGCGACAAAGTTGACAATCATCAAGCCACACACGCTGGAGGCGAATCCATAGCGAGCAATAACTTGCAGCTTCGGGTTGACTTCGCACAGGATGGTTTCCATGTTCCGCGTGTAGTAGTAGAAAGTGTAAGCAAAGTAAACGTCGAGCAGGACAACCGGCGTGCCGCCAATCAATATCAATATTAGCGTTATCAAGCGCCGAGTTTCTTTGTCGGTTGAGTTGGGAATACATATCTGGAGAACCGGCGTTAAGCAAATTGCTGGCAAAGCGTTGAGCAGCCGTTTCAGAATCACGGCACCCATGTCGGACTTGGGACGCAGGATAGTTTCGGACCGCTTCCAACTGAACCAAGCCTGTTTTATCGTTGCCATGATTATTTGTTCGTGAAACAAAAGGAAGTTTGGAGCGTTTTTGGAACTTACAAAGCTGACTTCGGCACCAGCCATGAAGGCCCACGAGACGGCGGACATCCACATCTCGGCCTCGTAATAGTAGTAAAACATTCCTGAAAATGTGAAGTAGAAAGCCCCAAAAATCCAGACACTAATAAAGAGCCCGTTGGTTGGAACCAACAATCGGCTGACTCTTGGTGTTTGCTTGACTTCTCGCGGCTCCAGAACGGTGATCATATACACGGACGCCGGTAGTACAATCAAGTTGCTTGCAACAAACGTGATGGGCACGATCCATGTCATGTAGTGGACGACAAGCTGAGCTTCAGGGCCGCATGACATTGTTTTTGGTCACGAAAATTTAGTCCATTGTCACATACAAAGCCCTTCCACGCACCACCCGCCGTCCGATATACCAGAATAAGCGATGGTGAACCCTCGGTGGCAGCGTGACGTCTTGTCCAACGCGCTCAGTAAAAAGGTAGTATAAGGTAGGTAGCGCAGTGAATTCCGCAGTGAAGTCGATAGTCTCGATGCAACACAGCCGGTACATGAAGCTGTATGGTTTAGTGTCATGCGAAATTGCGTTCCGGCAACCGTATCCACGCGAAAATTTGACAACAGACGCGCTACGTCTAACAGTGAATGCCATGGCAGCGGCACTGACTCAACGAGGCCCACTCCGTCCAATGGTGTGAAACAGTACTCGTCTGCCAGGCGCGCGTCGCGGAGGCAGTTGAGTGTGAGGAGGCCGTTACTGTGCCGCAAGTGCTCAAGCAGCTCGACAGCGGTGAGCGCGACTGCCGCAGGCCCTCGCAAGTGAATCAGCGCACGACGTCGTGCTCGCGTAGTGCGGCTTCAGCGAAGCTGTTAAGACAACGCGAAAGGAACAGAAGCGGCATCAATTGCGCGTTGCGCATTCCGTTCGCTGAGAAGCAGTGCCACGCCGTGATTTTGTCCTATGTGGTTGTCAAACATAGTTTCAGGACAAGATTGGGTGAACTGATGGGCGTTTCTGGCACCCAAGGAACCGCGCGATACCCATGGCATCAGCCAGTCGCACTGCTCTGCGAATAGCGGGTTCTCGTTCTTGGAATCCAATGCAGTTTGTATGCGCCGGTGCCAACGCCATCCGTGACGTGCGGCATGTTCGCGTTAAGTTGAATGATAGCCTTTGCCTGTGTCACGCTCTTGCAAGTGCGACTCTGCCGACACTGTTCGTTCCCGATGCTGAAACCCACGCACAATTGTCGTGAAAGCAATAACACAGCCCCAGTTGGTTTATTCGAAACCCTGAAACACGCCGATCTCTCCAAACGACTCACCATCGATGCGGATATTAGACAAGCCAGCGTCAACCCTGGGTTTACTTGGACTTGGCCTTCTCCTCCTCGGCAGCAGCCTTGGCACGGGCATCGCGCTTGCCCTTGTACTTCTTGTCTGCACGAGCGCGACGCAGGGAGTTGTATGCTGTTGCTTTCTGCTCGCCCTCGATCTTTCTGAACAGGTCGGTTTCAGGCGGTTGGACAATCGGGAGCACTGTAGCATGCGAAACTTGCGCCGCCTCCGCAAGGTCAGCCTTGGCAGAGTCGCCAGATTTGGGCTTGTTGAGCTTGCGCGGGAACAGGATCAATTTGCTCTTGTACTCGCCAAGACGCTCGACATTTGCCTGGAGACCTTCCACAGATCTGTTCTTGCGACGGTGGTCGACTGAGATTCCAATGGAACGGGCCTGCTTGCGGTTGATTCCAGCCGCCTAGAGAGAAAAAAAACCGTCGATAAACAACCCGCACCGTAATCTGGCGCTTCGTTTGTTCGTACCTCGAGCTCATCCAGGGAAAATCCGCGCCCAGCTCTAATCTTGGTGTTGTATCTGATGGTGGAGCAACGCACGGCGGGGCGGAAGAGTCCGTCGATAGGACGAGGAGCAATCGCAGCAGCCTTCTTGATTCTGTTGACTCTTCTGGTCTTCTTCTTGCCCGGTTGGTCGAACCAGGTCTTGACGCGAAGCTGCCATCCCTTGCGGAAGTGCTGGTTGGGTAAGACGTTGTTGTGCTTCATTGCTCTGTGATTGCAAATCAGTTAGATCTTCGTACGATTACCAAAGAGTAGGTTCAGATCGACGCTTCCGGAGCCGTTTTTTTGGGTGTGCGTTTGGATGCATTCAACCAGCGATAGATGCGCAAGGCAGCTTCGGGCGGCCTTAACGCGCCTTTCAGATCCTCATGCAGCCAAAACGCTGAAAGCGCACCGGCGTACTGGACGGAGCAGTAGGCGGAGGGCGAGAGGATGGGGATGGGGTGGGGATGAGGATGAGGGGCCACAACGGCGACTCACGCTTTTGTCTCAGGAAAGAAATCTCAACGCGGGGCCGACTTACACACCACAACGCCGCGCACTACACCTCACGCCCGTGCACGCGCGCACGCACCCACGCGACACGCCGCATCTGACTTGGCCCTGATGCACGGATCACACCACGGGCAGTCTCAAAAAGACACGTCCACCCGTGCTTGCCCTCACGGAGAAGCACGGAGGGCCTCAGTCCTCCAGCACTTCCGCACAAAGTTCCATCGCGTGAACACACCCCAGCCAGCGCGATGCAAAATTATTGTGGCCGCTCCTGCACTGCGCGCGCGGTTCGCGGTCCGTGGTGGGCAAGGCACAGCTGTGCGGTCGCCCGTGAGTCTGGCCGCCAGTGCTGTCAGCAAAACAGTCTGGATGATGTTCTCGGCAGCGCGCGCCCAACGCTCTTGTTGGTCCCGTTGCTGATCCTCAATCCTTCCTTCAGCAAAGGAATAAATTTTTTTTTTCGGCATGTCGGGCGCGTTTCTCGCCCCGGGCAGCACCGTGTAGTGCGCCAGATCTGGGCATCCCGTTCGCGCACCGGGGGCACGGCTCAGAGGACCATGGCGACACTGGGGAGTCTCAATCGGCAATCCGCAATGTGGGTTGCTCTCCATGAATTCCCACCTGTGGCCGGCGCATGGTTTGGTGGTGCCTGTCGGCAACTCAGCACGCTTTTCTGCAGCGAATTCGGCAGAGAAATCGGGAAATAAAAAAAATTAAAAAAAAAAAACTGCCATAAAAAAAATAAAAACGCGCGCGGGGCTTCATTCTTTCCGACACAATTGCGCGTCCCACGGACTCCCACGTCTTACTTTTTTCCACCGCGCGTCTGCACGCGGACCGTGACGGTGTCCCCCGAGCGCAAATTGTAGTAGCCGACGCTCATTTCGTTCTTGAGGTACATGTCAGACCCGGCCAATCCACCGCCAACGACAACCAGCCGCTGCTTTCCGGCCGCCGGGAACCCGCTCAAGTGCGTGGCGACAAGTTCGCGCACGCGCGAGATCTTTGTTGACACGGGCAGCGTGACGGGAAGCACTCGAGGTGGCTGTGGAGGGTTCGCCGATGCGTCTTGAAAAGAAAGCGTGATTTCCAGCTGGGGAGCGTGCATTGAAACCGGCAATGAGGAACAAATAAGCGGGTTGATTGGAACAGAACAAAAAAAAAAAAAAAAAAAACACAAAAGAGAGCTGCATACCGGATTCGCTGCGGCAAAAACTGCTTCCGGTATCAGGTGCGAGTCTTCAGCACTGACTTTCAATCGCTTCGCGTCTGGCAACTCGGATTCGAAAGGCGGCGGCGGCAGAGGTGGTGCTGGAGCAGACGGTGGAGGCGGTGGCGCCGAAGAGCGTGAAGGCATTGTTGGAAGGCCCGGAGGCGGTCTCATTGGTAAAGGAACGGCAGCAGATGTTGTCATCGACGCGGGTGTTGGTGGCAGACCTGGGGGCGGGGCTGGAATATATTGCGGGAGCGAGGGCGGAGGTGCCAGCGAAGGCGCAACTGCAGTCGCCATTGGAAGCGGAAGGGGGGTTGGTGCAAGCATCGCCGGAGGTACTGGCATATGCTAATCGCAGAGTTGTCAGTAAAACAAAAACGAAAATAATACAAAACTAAACACACCGGAAGCTGTGGCCCCACTTGGCTTTTGGGATCTTCATCGACAGGCGCAACACCGCCATTCGCCAGGAGCTGCTGCATTGTGTCCAACGCCTGCAATTGCACCTTTTGCGTGGTCACGGCGATGCTCGTGCTATGTCCGTCCCACACAATCTTGTCCTTTGCCGCAGCCGCAGCCTTTGCAGCTTCTTCGGCAGCTTTAGCGCTCGCAGTAATGCTGTCATCGCCACCAAATATATCGCTGCGGTAGCCACTGAGCTTCGCCAGGTTCTTTGCGACATCTACTTGGTCCATCAGCACGGGACGTGCGTGCAAACCAGCACCGGGCGCCGAGCCGTCCGT